TTGATCAAAATGAAATAGCCCTCTTTGTCTTTTCTGGTTAGTTTCAGTTTAAAGTCTATTTTGTCAGATATTAGAATTGCTACGCTTGCTTTTTTCTTAGTGCCATTTGCTTGGTATATTTTTTGTGATTTTTTTGATCAAGTATATTTCCATATGGTAATCTGTAAGAATATGGAATTTTCATGGCTTGGCCAGGGGCCATGTTAATAATTCTTATATTGTTCCAGTTTTACCACCTATATTTCTGTAGATGCAGGCTGTTTTATATGATGCAATTAAGACAGCCTTGGGAATCTGCCTCATTGACATGACTGCAAGACCACACATGTAGCACTACTGTAAGACAGTACTCAGCACCACTGACCTGTATTGTCTTTTGAAATAGAAGCTCGTCAAAAAGAACTTGAAGGCCCCCCCCTGCCACTTTCCTTTGTGAGACAGGGTCTTCCATAGCCCCTAACTGGCCTGGAATCCACTATGTAGACCAGGTTGGTCTCCATCTCACAGAGATCTACCTGCTTCTGCCTCTTTGAGTGCTGGGATTAAAAGCGTGCACCACCATACCTGGCTTTGAATGGTTCTTTAAAAATGATAGTTTTAGTCAATTAAATGATATTCAACATAAAACATATTGAGTACTATTAGTACTTGCAAAAATGTCACATGCAATAAAGATGTCTAATAGTGTAGTGACAGCCAATGACAGTACAGAAAACAGGCAGTTCCCAGTATTCCTGATGGGATTAAAGGGTGGAGCACTGGGAGGTACAGTGTCTGAAAGGTCATCCCCCACCCCAGTTAGGAGTGCAGTCTAGTGTTGCAAAGCACAGTAAAGTGGCTAGTTCACAACAACCTATTACATATGTATGAAGAACTACGAGAGTTTTAAGATTCCGCATATAAAGAAATGATAAGGTGAGGAAATACTGATTACCACCAATTGATCACGAATATGTACATGTATTAAAATATATATTGTAATTCATAAATATGGACAGTTACATGTTAATCAAAAAGAAAAAAGTTTAAGCAAATAAAGCTATACCTTGATAACCGCTAGAACTAAACACTGCTGCTAGGCTCTGCAAGGCCTTCCCTATCTTCTGATATTCCTTGGGTAATGCTGAAAGAGAAAAAAGAATTAACTAATTAGTCCTCAGAGCAGACCAAAATGCATTTGACTGTTTGCTAACAGTGATTATGTCATAATAAAAGACATTTAGCTGGGCGTGGTGGCGCATGCTTATAGTCTCAGCACTTGGGAGGCAGAGTCAGGCAGATCTCGGTGAGTTCGAGGCCAGCCTGGTCTACATAGTGAGTTCCAGGACAGCTGGGGCTACAGCGAGACCCTGTGTCAAAAAGTCCAAAAAAAAAAAAGACATTTAAAGTGGTTCAAAATAACTTACATTCTTTAATAAAATATTCATGAAATTATTTTTCAATTAATGACTACTTTAGTAAGTTGTTTATTATTTTTAATTGATGGATGCTATTATGAAAGCCCCATCATTTACTGAGTTTGAACACATTGAAAGAAAGCCCATGGCGGAGAGTCCTAGTTTCTAAAGCCCTTTCACATGCATGTGGCCATCATAATAATCCTATCTACCAGGGAGATACCATCTCCATGTGGAGGGTTAGGCAAATGAGGCACAGTGTGGCAACAAAGGCTCCCAGGACCCAGAGGAGGGAGGTGAGTGTTCCTAGCCTAGGAGGTGATGACTGGGTAAGTGACCCCTAAGGTTCCTAGCTAGGATTCTAGGGTCACTCTGGAGAACCTTCAGAGTACATGTGCACAGACTCCCCTCGAAAGCCACCTGTGGCCTTTCGAAAGAAACGACTACTTGATTTTAGCTATAGTTAACTTTAATAACATGTTACACTACTCCTTGGGGTTAAAGACACTCATGGTTTACCACATGGAGTTTTCACAGTACAGATTAGAAGTTTGTAAAAATCTTTTTATAAAGAAGAAAGGAGACATGACTAAGAAAAATATTGAACAAAATACCTACTTTCTCTCCTCTAAGCCCCCAAACCAGCTTGAGCAGGTATCCTCTTTATAAATTTGGCCTTCTGTTTTACACAAGGCACAGACCTTCCAGCCATCACATAAGGATTTCAATTCCATAAAAGAAGGGGCTCCAGATTTTTGTTATGTCCATACAAATATGATTGTAAGATTTACATTTGACTAAAAAAAAACCTGTTTTTAAAGCCGGGCGTGGTGACATGTGCCTTTAATCCCAGCACTTGGGAGGCAGAGGAAGGTGGATATCTGTGAGTTCAAGGCCAGCCTGGCCTGGTCTACCTAGTGAATTCCAGGTCAGCTGTGACTACAGGGAGACCCTGTCTCAAAAAGACCAAAAGAACCCCAAAAAAAAACAACAAAAAAACCAACCCAAAACCCTGTTTTTAAAGAACACATGAGGGGCTGGAAAGATGGCTCAGCAGTTAAGAGCATTGGCTGCTCTTCCAGGGGATCTGGGTTCAACTCCCAGTACCCCTGTAGCGGCTAACAACTTTGTAACTCCAGTTTCAGGGGATCTGATGCCTTTTTCTGGCCTGCATGGACACTGCACACATGTGGTACACTTACATACATGCAGGCGAAACAGTCATACACATAAAAGTAAATAAAATTTAAAAACATAAAATTAATTGATTTGTTGTGATGGCCTTCTATGAATTTGCAGCCAAAATAACATTATTTTTGAAGTTTAATTCTTTCATTTATATTTTATTATTTTTCTCATGTGCAGGAATTGAACCCAGGGCCTCACAAACCCAGCCCTTCATTACACTTAGAGGACAGTGTCCCTGGATGTTTTGCTTACTCTTCCCTGGGCCAACACAGCTGCACAATTCTGAGGGTATAGGGAAAAAGTTGCTCAGCAACACAACAGTCCACACATAAAGGACAGGGAGAGAGAAAACGGTTCTCTGAGCCAGGGAGGGTGAGCAGAGCCACAGCTAATGTTCCAGGTCCCTGCTGCAGTTCACTGATCTGTCTGATGCATGTGTTGCATTTTCTACAAGTATACTGCCTATGACTAAAACAGGCACAAAGATTAAAAGTAAAATCATGAGCCACACATGGTGTCAGATACCTGTAAGTGATCACTGGAAAGGCTGAGCCAGGAGAACGAAGAGTTCAAATCCTGTTTGGGCCACACAGTGAGATCCTACCTCAAAAATTAAAAAAAAAAGTACGTACTCTCTAAACATGCAAAAAAGGTTAATTTTCATAGATTATAAAACTTCAAATGACTAGACCTTAAGTTCAAGTCAGCATGGTAATTTCTGTTTGTTTGTTTGAGACAGGGTCTTCCCCGGCGGGCCTAGAACTCACTATGCAGATAAGGCTGGCCTCAATCTCCAAGAGATCTGCCTGCCTCTGCCTCTCAAGTGCTGGGACTGAAGGTGTGTGCCACCACGTCCGGCCTAGCATGGTGTTTTTAGTGAGGTTTCTTGAACTGGCTTTGTTAGGGTCAATTTTCTGGTTTTAACTAGGGTGAAGAAGTAAGTGAGGCAAAGGGCTAAGAGTGGCTACTGGCTCACCGCAGTCTCTTCTGTGTTGGGGAAGGGTCTCCAGGAAGGCTGAACCACAGAGCTGAGCCTGGAGGCGGGGTACTCACGTCCTGTGCAACGTTTCCAGTGCTCCTGGCCCACGGTCAGCAGCTCCTTCACACCGTCATCCATGGCCTTGGTGAACTTCCCCACAGCCTCGCACTTCTGTTCTCTGGGGGCAAAGATGGTCTCAGTCACACAAACAGTGTCAAAGAAACAGAGCAAACATTACCCGAGGCACTTGTCTGCCACAGCCTCGCACTTCTGTTCTCTGGGGGCAAAGATGGTCTCAGTCACACAGTGTCAAAGAAACAGAGCAAACATTACCCGAGGCACTTGTCTCCTGCATATAGCCTGCTAGCCAAATGAACAGGCTAGCTGAGTATCTTACTGAGAAGAATTCCAGGGTTGCTATAACAGTTCATTAAGTCCTACCAGTACTTTAATGAAGTGAGTGAAAATCAAGCTACCCTTCACCTACCAACAGTGAAGATATATGATCCCTTTAAGGATATAAAATGTGGATCTGTGAACCTGCAAAGATCAAGGAGTGAATTAAAGAAGCAGGTTATGAAACAGAATGTAGGGGCTGGTGTACCTCAGTGGTGGAGCATGTGCCTAGCATGCCTGAGGCCCATGAGTTTGATCCCAAGCAACACCACCCAAAAAGAAAGAAAAGAAAAACAATTTCTCCATTGTTGGGCACTCCATGGATGTTGATGGCTCTGCGCCACTTTGTTTCATCAGAGTTTATTGAAGATAGCTAACATTTCAACCATGACACACTTTGAAGAAGCAGATCTTGACATGATGTGGTTAGATGGGACTTCCAGGGATGCATGATGCTTTCTCTTGCCAGCTGACTACAAACCCCACCCATTCCATAAACTCCTGTCTGACAATGTGAATTCCAGCTGCTGCAATTCTGGTCAAGACTGTGAGCCAAAGAGACGGATGCGGACCAGGGAGAAGGAAAGTCTGGCAGCGGCTCTTACACTTCTATCAAGTCCAAGTCTGGAGCCTCCGGTTCCATGGTGGAGAATATCATGACTCCCACCAGCTCGTCTTTCTCCGCCTTCCTCTTTCCAGTTTTCCATTCCTGTAAATGAGAACAGCATAGCAGTGCAAAGGCTGTCAGCAGAGCTGAGCTCTCCCAAATCCCCAGCAGAAGCAGGAGCAGCTCATGGGTAAACTGCCTCTTCTTCTCAGGAAGCAGCTTCCACCCTTTCTGAACATGGGCAGAAGTCAGCATGGCCCTGGCTCACAACCCACATCATGGCACAAGGATGGTCCTTAGGAGACCACATCTTTTGCAAGTGAATACACTTGGCCATATTTCTTTTGTAACAGCTACCAACATAAACACAGGGAATATAAACACACCTTGATTTCAGACAAATGTAACTTTTCTCTCTTTTTTGGTCTTTTTGAGACAGGGTCTCCCTGTAGCCCCAGCTGGCCTGGAACTCACTATGTAGACCAGGCTGGCCTTGAACTCACAGAGATCCGCCTGCCTCTGCCTCCCAAGTGCTGGGATTAAAGGCGTGCACCACCACACCCAGCTAGAACCCATGTTTTAAAAAAAGCTGTGGTGTGTCCTTGTAATCCCAGAGTTGGGGAGGTGGAGACAGGCAGATCCTTTGGAGCCCAGCCAGCCTAGCCTAATCTGCAAGCCCCAGGTCTTAGTGAGACCCTGTTTCAAAAATCAAGGCAGATGGTTCCGGATGGACACACCAACACACCAGAGGCTGATCTCTGCCTCTCTGCTTCCACAGGCAAGTGCATGTACAGATACACACACACACACACACACACACACACACACACACACACACACACACACACACACACAGAGCATGGGCACTGTAGACGTCCCTGAGGTCCAATAACTATCTTCCTCCCCCTCCCACTCCTCCCTTCCTCAACAAAGGTGCCATTATCGTCCATGACGTCTTCCTCCCTCTGTCCTTTCTTCTTTCTCATGCCAGAACCCAGGGCTTTGTGCTAGGCAAGCATTCTACCACATGCTACATGCTCAGTCTGCTGCTTTTATGCCTTTCATTCCTGCTTTTATTAAGAGTTTTACCAACCAGGTACCTCCAAATTACAGTTTTTACTTTTTGAACTGGCAAGGAGCTCCATGCTACACATTTCTTTGTGCTGGTTCTTCTATTTAACCTGCAGTTATGGCCCATGTTCCAGTGCTGTGTCCAGCTGTCCTTCACTCACTCCCCCGTGGTTTAATACTCTACGGTATGATGGTTCTTAATTTACTTCCCTATTCTACTGATGGTAGTTACCGGTGTCAAGTTATGAGTAAGGCTGTGACAGGTTACAGTCTCCTGGCCTGTACATGCCACATGTCCCTTTGGCATATAACCAGGAGTGGACGTGCTGGGTCTAGAAGTTTTGATTTTAGCAGATGATGCTAATAAGAAGATTCCAAATTGGTTTTTACCAATTTTCCCTGCAGTGGCTTCTCATCTCACCAAGGAGGCACTGGACATGGCCAGTTTTCCTCATTTTAGCCATTCCGGTATGAACAAAACTTCCCAGAAAAAAAGCTGCATCTTCAGCTGAACCTCATGCAAGGCTGATAAACTGATTAGAACTTCAGTGATTGTGGAGAGTTTGGAATGCTGCAGGTCCAGAGTCTAATTACCATTTAACTTGGGCCATCTTTAGCCCCTAAATAACCATTCTTTGCCCACCTCTATTTCTGACCTAATATCCTGGGACTAACAGACAAAAACCTTTTGGAATGTATTAAAGTAGCAGACCACCAGCTTCCACCAACCTAAGGCCTAAGAAGAAGCCCGTCAGATAGCAGCTAAGGTGCACAGCAGAGTTCTCCCAGCTCTGCCACAACTCGCCTCTCTGAGGTCTCCAGCAATGTATCTGAAGTGTCTTGATTAATGGCTTTCTTTGTTGTGTTACTACAAAAACTTCATGAAACTGTTACCATGTTGGAACACAGCATTTGGGGCAACCCGAATCTGTGCTCCCAGCCATGGTCACTCATCTTTGGCTCCAGAATAAACTATCTCTTCTCCCGTTTGAGATGAGGCTTGTGCTTTTTGTGTTAACACTGGTGAGCATTGAGAGGCATCTCATTGTAGTTTTAATTGGATTTCCTTAATTGTTAATGAGATGAAGAATTTTTTAGATATTTGCTGATAGTTCTCTGTGAAGCACATTATCAAATCTCCTAAGCTGCTGGCTTTTCAAACATTCTAAAGTGTACCGTTTGGTGGCCATTTATGTTGCAGTTATCTTCTGCTGAGCAGCTTGGTCTTTCTTTTTAGCGGTTCTTCTGATAAAGAAGTTCTTCATTTCAGTACAGCTAAGCCTGGATATCCATCTCCTAATTAAAAAACACTAACACTCTAGGGCAGGAAGACACACCTTCTAGAAAGGTCATAATACTGCCTTTCAAATCACCTGCAAACCACCTGCAGTTGGGAGAAGCTACTCAGAGCCTCTGGTAGCCGCCAGTCTTGTAGCTGTTCTCCATTCTACACCTGCTCTCTTGAAAGAAAATCTTAGGACTAGCATGGTTCCAGTGGTTATACTATGTTAAGTGCAGGCAACCACACAGACCGAGCCCTAACGTTTAACACTACTTGCAAATGCATCACTTTAACAAGCCAAAAATACTACAAAAGGCTTAGCAAGTAAATCTCTGCCTGAAAGTTCCAACAGGGTATGAGGTATGCTATAATTTGATTAAAGGCAAAAATAACTTCATAACATTTTTTTCCAGAGTCATAATATATTTAACATCTGCTGCTGCCTCTGAACTAACCCATGTTTTTACTCCTTAGTGTTCTATACAATATGTGACATTTGTTACAAGAGAGGTAAAACTACAGAGAAACATTCTGGAGAATAAAAGGATACAACGAGGAACACAGTGAACGCTTATCAAGAGAAACTATTCCTGAAGAAGAAATAGTGAAGTGCCAAGCAGCCTGCTCTGTCAATGAAGACCCGATGGACACTGAAGAGTGACTGTCCTCAGGAGCAGGCAGAGTGAGACTAGCATTTACTCTGGACTTAGAACTACAACTGTGGAAAAGGACTTGGCTCCGGGATGATCTCTGATTCCACTTTCCTCCATGATGCAAAGGCACTGAGAGGATTATTGTGGCCCATTCTCCTCTCTGTGCCCACAGCACCTTTTATCATCTGAGGTTTATCCTGTTTGAGTTCTCTCTCCTCTCTCTCTGGTACTTTCACATGTATGTGTGTGGGTGCATATGCCAGTGCCCACATGTGGAGGCTCTTCTATAGAAGGACCTCGAGTGCCCTGCTCTATATCTTATTTGAGAGAATCTCTCACCGAACCTGGAGCTAGGATGGTAGTCAACAAGCTCCAGTAATCCTTTTGTCTCTGTCCCTCATAATGCTGGGTTACAGGTACACGCAGCCATGCTTGGTTTTTTATGTGGGCACTGGGATTTGAACTCAGGTCTTCCTGTCTGTTCACCATGTACTTTTACCTGCTGAGCTATCTCCCTAGCTCCTCTATCTTGTTTTAAAGAGTATCTTGGAAAAAAACCTCACACCTAAGCATATTCTTCATCCTTGCCCCACTGTACACGGCTGGTTGGCTGGCTGTCCTTCCACACTGTATAATTTAGGTTTCTGTCCCCTCATTTTTGGAAGAAGCAACAAATAACCAACACCGTTTCAGCTCCTTTCAGACATAAATTCAGTGTGAACGTGGCAACACGCTTTGTCGCTGAGCCCACAGTACGCTACCTTCTCATCTCGGAAATTCAGGAACTGCTGGAAAACCTCACTTTCTGAGACCACGGGGTGCCGGCACATCCTTGTCATCCAGGCCTGAAGCCTCTCCATGCGCATTTTGATAAATTCTTCTTCAAAGCGACCTGGAAGAGACACACCAGAAGTGACATACAACTCCCTCTACAGGGGATTGTTATTCTGTACCTCCCTGTGACTACGGCTACTTGGTAGAAAGCTATTTTGTAAGAGGTGAATCACATAGATCCTTCATTATTGTAAAGAAATGCAGAATGGAATGCTCCCTTGAAGGATACTAGACTCTTTTAAAATTTATTTTTATTTTGTGTATGTACGTGTGCAACTTATGTATGTGGTGCATACGCACAAGTGTGTGGGTGCAAACAGGTGCATGCGCCTATGCATGCATGTACAGAGGCCATGCTGCAGGCTCTGCTCTATCACCCGGGGCTGGGATGGCAGTGAGGATGCCACCCCCGGCCCCACCCAGCAATCCTCCTATCTCCGTCCCCTACAGTGCTGGGTTCCATATCTGGCAGGCCTGGGGATCTGAACTAAGGTCTTCACACTCTTATTCCCTAGATCCTCTCCTTACCCTGGACTCTTCAGTTGTTAAGAATGAAATTCCAATTTAACACATTTAAATTTTGGAAAGAATAAAAATTGTAAAGAAATATTATCTCAAAATGGAAAACTATCCCTAGCTTAAAAAGAAACATTAGGGCAGTTTCTGAATGGGGGCATGAAGCATTACAGGTAAGAAAGGACTGAGAGATTTAGTGAGTCATTTTTATAAAGTAAATGAGAATTCTATAGTTATAAAACATGTCTATGAGCTGGAGAGACATCTCAGTGGTTAGGAGCACTGATTGCTCTTGCAGAGAACCTGAATTCAGTTCTTAGCACCTACATGGCAGTTCACAACTGTCCATAACTCCAGTTCTAGGGAATGTGATGCCCTCTTAGGCCTCTAGAGGCATTCCATGCATAGGTATGCTGAGATATTTGTAGGCAAAACACTCATACACATAAAACAAATAAGTAAAATTTTAAAAAAGTCTATTTATAATAATACTCAAACACAAGTATTTAGCATTTGAATCCAGTACTTAAGTAACTCTGCAGCCAAGTGTGGTGGTACACACCTGTAATCCCAATACTCAGGAGGCTGAGGCAGGTTTGTGAGTTTGAGGGCAGCCTGGCTTACACAGTAAGACCCTGTCTCAAAAATAAACAAAACCCTAAACAAAACAGAGTGCTCCCCAAAGATTGTAACTTTGTTTGCCATTTTGTTTTTGTTTTTTTAAGTTAAATTTAAAATAGCAAAGGCAATTAGCTACCCTAGAACTGACAGCCATGCTAAACCAGCCCTGAGTGATTGCTTCTGTTTTAAAAGTAGAAAGCTCTGCAGGGCATGGTGGATCTCTGCAAGATTGAGGCCACCCTGATTCACACTGTGACTTCCAGGTGGGCTGTGACTAGACAGACCCTGTTTAAAAAAAAAAAATTGAAAGCCCCACAAAACATGACACATCCAACATCAAATGAGGGTATGCCCTGTGAGGGCATCAGCTAGTCCTACTCCCAAGAGTAACAGAGAGCTGTACAATGCTGACAAAACAGCTTCAGCTGGAAATCAACCAAAGGCAACAGCCATCTGAGGAGTGCTTGTGCTGGAAAAACTGCTCAACTTCTAGCAAGAACAGCAGGACTCTGTGGCATTCTGGAGCAACTCCATCACTCTCTGCTCCTGCGGGCCTCCTCACTCCTCAGAGACCGTGCCAGGCGAAGCAAGCTGTGGAGATCAGCAGATGCAGCATCTCTGCTGTGGGAAGAGGCTCACCTGATTCTGAGTAGTGGAGATGGCTACTCAGTGGTAGCACTGGTGCAATGACGTCGTCAGAGGAGATGAAGAGGAGAGCAAAGGACCCTACTGGAGCCAGGCACCTGCTAGGCTGATGCTGTGCATCCACTGTGGAGCCCAGACAGTATCCAAACCAGCCACAGGCTCCTGGCCAACTCTGAGGCTGCACACAGATGCCACGGAGACCGAAAAGGGCCAGTGTTGAAAGCTAGGCACAGTGGTATGTGTCCATAGCTCTAGCTGCACCGTAGGCTAAGGCAGGAGATCACTTGACCCAGGAGTTTGTGGCACGTCTGAACAACATAGTGACACCCTATCTCGACGAACAAATACACCAAAACCCCAACAACAACAAATAACATTAACAAATGCCCAGGAGAAATAAAGGCCAGGGCGAGCTGGAAGTGCCCTGAGCTTTGAACACACTCCTGTATTTTATAGCTACATCAATAGAGGCAAAAAGCTTCACTGGTCTGTGGTGGGTGGGCACAGCCTCTGTGCAATCAATTCCAGGCTTATCACCAGTCTACAGGATGAGAAGTCTCCAATGAGTCTTAAATACAAACAAATGTAAAAATAACTCAGCTGCAAGAGAGATTTAGCCTAAGTTTCCTAGGCAAACACAAATAATGAATATTCTCAGCAATGTCCAGCTTTCGTTAAAAAAATTAGAGCTCTGCCAAGAAGTGCAAGATGGGCTCTGCACTGGGGAGAAGCAGTCAATACAAACAGTTCCTAAGTTGCTAGATGTTGAATTTGGTGGACAGAACCAATGCAATTTCTATAAATATGCTCAAAGAACTAAGGAAAGCATACTTGAAAAATTACAGAGCAGGAATCAACAGACTGAGGTCATCAAGGAGTCAGATGTTACAGAAAAAGAAGACAATGGAGGCTCTGGAGTTGAAAGTACAACTGAAAGGAGAAGTTCAATTCAGGGCTCTACAGTAGAGCCAGGACATGATCCGCATCAAAAGATGGATGAAGAGAAGTGAAGAACAGAGTGAGTCTCAGAGAGAACCACGCACACCAAATATGTCCTCGGGGTCCTGGAGGGAGGAGAGAGCAGTGGAAATGATAATTGAGGAAAAGGCAACAACAAAACCCACCCCCACAAATTTGATGAAAACGGATTTGTCATCTGAACAATGCAGGCCAGAAGGCAATGGGAAGATTCTTATGGTGCTGCAAGAAAAACCCAGCTAAGAATTCTGTAACAATTAACCTATCCAGAAACAAAGGCAGAAGAAACACATAATTGGACAAATAATGAATGTGAGAACTCCTTAACAGCATGCCTGTATCGAGTCAAATATGAAAAGTCCTTCAGGTGACAAAGACATTACTAAAGATATTGACTGGAATCCACAGGGAGAGACGAAAAGCAACAGACATGTGGGTTAATGGAAAAGACTCTACAGACAGACAGGCTTTTTCCTCATTTATTTCCCAAACTTCTTTAAAAGACTGAAGGAGACAGTAATTATAACCCTGTATTGTCACATTTGTAGCATACAGGGATAAATACATATAAATAAAACCATAAAATGAGAAAAAGGAATAGAGCTATGTTAGAGGAAAGTTCCTGTATTTTCCTGCAACCCAGTTAATACTGATCTAAATTGCACTGTAACATTTTTTTGTTTTGTTTTTTGGTCTTTTTGAGACAGGGTCTCTCTGTAGCCTTAGTTGGCCTTGAACTCACAGAGATCCATCTGCCTCTGCCTCCGGAGTGCTGGGATTAAAGGTGTGCACTACCACGCCCGGCAATTGTCTAAATTTTTATAGTGAAGTATATACCATTAAATATCTTGAATATTACACTCCTGTCTTCGCTTGTTTATTGCTTTGAGCATTGATTCAATGGTGCCCATGCTTGTTCACAGAGATCCGCCTGCCTCTGCCTCTGGAGTGCTGGAATTAAAGGCGTGTACCACCATGCCCGGCTCACTGTAATATTTTTTAATAAATGCATATAATATTCATTAGAGCATGCAGAGGTCAGAGGACAACTTGCAGGAGTTGGTTCTCCTTTCACCTTGTGGGTCCCAGGGATTGAGCTCAAGTCATCACCTCGAAACTGGGTTGTAACTGATCCCATTAACTGAATGTGAAAGTCATGAAAAATTTGTCAACAAAAGGTTTCTGAATGTGGGATGACCAAAAATTAATGAAAAATCAAACACATAACAAATCCATTGTGTTTTCTAGCAATGCTCACTGATATTACATAGCAATTTCACTGCAGCCATGGTTCTAAACACACAGCATGCACACATCACACCATGCATGCCATGTATTACACCAATGAAGGCTGCCTGAAAGCCCTGACTCAGATTGAGAGCACTGTAAGTTATGAATTGTAGTGTTTTTTATTGGGCATATAAAGTTTTCTGCTCTTATAGAAACATAATGGTCTAGTTAAAGAAAAGATGTTTGATCTTTTCTGTCATCATTCAATATGTAAGAATCAAAGGCTTGGGGGAGGCAGTGCCAATGACAAAATTTAGAAATGAAGGAGTGGTATTTCTTTTTTTAAAAAAATATTTTATTTATTATTTTATGTGTATAAGTGCAACGCCCACAGAGGACAGAAGAGGTGCATCTGATTCCCTGGAACTGGCATTATAGATGGTTCTTAGCCATCATGTGGGTGCTGGGGACCAAACCTGGGGTCCTCTGCAAGAGTAGCCAGTACTCTCAGCACTGAGTCAGCTCTCCAGCCCTGGGAGTAGATATTTTCACAGACTATATATTGTAAAAGTGCAAAAGAACACTATGAATACTTCTAACTCATATTCAATAACTTACATTACATAAATTACTTCAAAGATCCAAAGAACCAAAGAAAACTCACTGAAGAGATGGCCTGGACAGCTCCAGCTTTTTATTAAGGAAATTAAATTCATAATTAAAGCTTTCCCATTAAAAAAAGACATTTCAAAAGTCCAGATGATTTTCATGGTAGATCCTATGAAACATTCATAGACTAATACCAGTTCTATATAATCTACTCCAGAATGTAGAGCAGGAAGGATTATTTCCCAATTCATCTGAGATAAACACTATCCAGATACCCAAACTAGACAAAGACATTACAAGAAAGTCAGAGACCAATAACCCTCAGACACAAAAATACAGACACAAAAATAGCCTGATTATTAGAAACTGAATCTTATAAATATCAATACGCCATCATCAAGTGAGGCTTATCATAAGAATACATGGTTGGTTAGGCACCAAGAACCTAATTTACCATAG